CATGGTTGACCCATAAACAATTTGCACACTATCTCAATATCCGCTCCTGGATTTTTTGGCCAGCAAAATTAATTTTAATTTTATTTAATTTTACCGTCTATTCTGTCATATTTTTAAAGACTTATTATTGGAGACCGATTTTAAGTTTTTTGCAATTTCTTCCTCAAAGAAACTCGTATTAATATACCTAAAAACGCACTTTTTATTGATTAATCATCTGGTTTATACGTGAAAGGCTTTTGTGGTTTTAATATTTGGCATTCCGTCAAATAATTTCTCGTTTCAGCCGTGTTCGTGGTTATTTTAACGTGATTCCTGCCTACGATTGAGGTATTTAGGGCGGAAATAATATTAAAATAAGGCTCTTGGAAGAGCCAGCGGCCAAATAAACCATAGCGATCTCGACTTATGTTTCGCTGTAAATACTCAACAAAATTAAACAAAAATGTCATTCAGCCAAAACGATTTTTTTACAACGATATTTAATATTGTTCCCTTCTATTCTTGTTTTCTCATAACTAATTAGATAGATTGAAATTCTGAACAGGGCTCTTATGATTAATATATATCATTAGTTTTGGCCGGTTATTACAACAAAACCGAAACAATTAACAGCGCTCGCCGATGATTTATAGTCGCTGTTTTTGGACATTATCCAGGATATGTTTCTTTTATCCCTGAATAATAAACCAAAAAACTAATAAAAAATAAAAAATCAATAACAAAAAGAAAAATAAGGTAATGCCAAGCAAGTAAATACAATTTAACATTTAAAAAGAAAATTAAAGCTTATTGAACTCCATTATAAGAAAGAAACGGTTGAGGAACGAGAGTTTATTTCAGGTTAGCTGTCTTCCTTCAGTTTGTAGCAATGGTACTTGTAATGATTTATGATCAAAAATTTAACTACATTATGTTAAGTATTTTACGCGTGATCGACAATACAATTTTCACTTCTCAATAGTATCTATAATTTCAATTAATTAACCCGGCCGAAAGTCATGGGTTCAAATCCGGCTCGTGTCACTTTTTCACCTCACAAGACTTAAGATAAACAGAATAATTAATTGAAATAAGTAATATGATCAATTATCACCGCTAAACATATACGGATTCGTATCTGCAATTACTGACAGAATTGTGCAAATTTTGTGCTTTTTTTAACATGTGAAAGGTTCCCTGAATTAAGTTTGTTGTTTGCGTTGGTAATATTCGTTAGGTTGGGCGGTATCGGTATCGACGCGGTATTGTTTTCATCGGTATGGTTTGTTCGCTTTAATTTTAGTTATGATTTTTTGTTCTCTCTTTCATTACGTTCATTTTGATTTTTTTCTTTTATTTAATTCTAACTTACCGTTTGTTCATTCTGATTTTTTGTTGATATAATAAATGTTACACTTAGTAGAGAAATCGATTGTTCTTTATCAAATTTAAATTCTTTATTAAACACAACGTCTCGTACCGGCTCATACTTAATTTTTGTCCTCCAGGTCAAATGAAGAACATGAATGAAGAAAAACCAATAATTAAAAGAACACACACAAGATAAAGAGAAGTCTCGCTGAAAAGGCTTGTTCGTTTAAACCGATGGATCGCAGGATTAACTTGAATGACTGGAAAGCCGAGAACAGAAGGTACTTTCTTACTGTAGACGGAAGAACAACTGACTAAAATAGTGACGACTCTTTCTCTTTCCAGAAAAATTCCGATATACAGACCTGCTTGGAGTTGCAAAATTTCTGCTACGGAATTTATTTATAGAAGATTTCCCATCGACAAGTTAAAAAAATATAGAAAAACTTAAATTATTACCAAGAAAAATTACACTGGCGTAAACAATCCTCTTATGTCCGTCGTATAAAAGACGACAAATCGAACCGTTGATTACTGACCCGGCTCAATTTTTTTTCACTTTCTTGTCTTTAACGTAATCAACAGTTCTGTACAGGAAAAGGTCTACACTAAGAAGAATGCCACCAGGAGTACACTGTTCACTAGTAAACGCAATTAAACTAGCATTGAATACTGAAAGAATTTCACAGGAAGCACGTTTCTACGATATTTACACTACATCCGTAGACCTTCCTTCATTAAATTAATGCCGGAGATAAAAAATAAAGGTTTGAAACATTTTTGTAGTTTCTGGCCGTACTTTTCTTACTTATAACAATAAAAATCTAAATGTTGTTGACATAACCTAAAAGAACGAATATGCTGTACAAAGGTTGTAAAAACGTTGAATTTGGTTAAAATCCAGAGGAGTTATGCATTTTTAAGTTAAAATCAAATAATTATGAGTTAGTAATTCAAGAATGCCTATTTTTTTTAATTACTTTGAAAATTCTTATTTAAAAGCACTAGGGGGTGGTAAAGACAAATCTAATATTTAAAACATTTTTTTATATACTTTATCGCAAATTTATGTTGGTTTTTGTAACTTTTCGGACAAGTGATATTTATTACAATCTTACGTCTTATTTTATTATCAGGCGTAAGGTCGGAATGTACAGACAACAAAGGCGGAAAAAATAATTTAAAAATACTGAAAATAAGTTTTATATTGGTTCTTGTCTCCTTTGGTAAGATCGCTCGGACACGCTAATATTTTCCCTGATATCACGTAAACTGGCGTTATGCCAATAAAACTGGAGTTCCACAAGGATGTATCCTAGGCCCAATCCTCTACGCCATCCAAACACACAATTCACATGCTACACGGAAGACACCATATCTTAACAAACACTTCATTCCTATGGCCACAGAAGTAACGAATCTGAAATACATTCTGCAACCTCACTGGTTCAATCGGTAGCGGATCAGGTGTTGAATGAATAAAACAGCCAACACGCTATGTTTAAGTTCAAACGTCAAACCTGTCCACCAGTGCACATAAATAAATTTCATCATCGAACAAGTCCGCTACCTTGGGCTTCACTTAGCAGTTACTTAAGTTAAATAAATAAAATTAAAATGACAAGAACTTAACAAAAGATATAGACTACTCAGACACCTACTAGGACCAAAATCAACATTAAGCATACACCACAAACTACCGACTTACATTATACTCATCTGACCGATTTGGACCTTCGAACGGTGGGGCTCGGCCAAATCAACATCCAACGAATCCAAACCTTTCAACCCAGAGTTTTCCGTCGTATCCTCGACACTCCTTTATACGTCACCAATCAAATGATTTATAAAGATCTTGAAATCCCATTCGTGAAGTATCTGATCAAACAAGGTTCCTCAATTTTCACTTTAAACTATCCCTGCACTCTAACCCACTAGCGCAAACTTTTTCCTCAAGTACCACCCTTGTAATCCCCCCGCCTTCTAAAACGACGACCTCCTGACCTTCAATCTTAGTAACCTTGCCAACTAAATAAAAGAGAGTTCTAGCACAGGTAGATATGTCAGATTTGAATGTAATTGTCTATACAATTTGGTAAATGTATAAGTTCTTTGTGCAACAAACAATAAACTAAACTAAATTTAAAAACCTACCTCGTATCACCACAAAAACTTTCGTTAAAGTCGGCGATCTCACCTTCGTCGCCTCCTATCTTTCTACCGTTACTTGATCTTTTACAATCGCAGCAAAATGATAATAAATAATCAGTTAATAATTTTAGAAATGAAACAATGAATAAAGAAAACGTGTTATCAAAGTGGCACAGATATGGTTTACAAGTTTCAGATTTTAAACACATCAAACTTATTCAAATCCTCACCATCTAGTTGTATTAGATTATCGACAAATACTCTAAATAAACTGTTTGATTTAATAAAAATATTCTCTTGGTCGTAATTTGTTGAACTCTTTTCCACTCAAACTTTATTTCCATGTTATCTCTTCTCATAAATAACGTGTCTTCTCTTCTTCGATGAAGAACACTACGGCCGGCTTAACTCGATGCGAAGACGTGTCACAAGTACAAATTCGGCCGTTCCATCAGGAAAAAGTGTCAATTTGGTGACGCGATTGGCTTTCGAGGCATCGCACCAAATCGAGCACGGACGAGCATGCTCATCCATGATTACGAGGACTCGCACAGTGCTCGTTTTCATCACTTTTCGAACGTGCACGTCAATCTGATATAGGAGTATTTGAAAACTGGATCATTTTGGCTATTTTTTTACCTGAATTTTAAGTGTGTAAGGCTTATATACTAAAATAAAATACGTTTCCACCAATTGTAATTGAATAACTTTAAAAAAATTATGTTTGAACTTATGCTACATTTTAATAATAACCATTTTCTTATTTTTTAATTTAGCTAAAACCAAACATTTTTAAAACCATAATTTCGGAATTCTGACTTGGTGAGTTAAAGTAGGTTTAGGGGTAGCAACCATTTTTCGGACGAACTGCTGGTTTTTCCCTATTTGTTTGTTTAAGTCTACCCCACTAACTGTATTTTAATTTTGAAGCATTTCTATTTCCAGAGAGTATGTAATTTTTGGCTAGACATCAAAATGTTTTTTTCCGAATTTCAAGAATTGTTCGGGGTCTTTTATTTGCCCAAAAAGAGGCCAAAAGTTCTCATTTTTTGGTACCATTTCCTCAAAATTTATTTAGTCTATTCTCACCAGTAGTTTTGGCGTTTTGAAAATTTTAGGATGGTTGGGGTCTTTATAAATCATTAGGGTATACTAGAAATGTGCAGCTAAGGGTTTTCAAAAATAATGAAATGTTAGTTTTTTTTAGCAAGAACGTTGAATTGTGGCGAAATTTAACACATTTATTTTATATAAAAACATGTATTTATACGCTCTTCGATGATTGTTAAATAAATAACTTGTTCGATTGTTTGGCTATAACTATTCCACGAATAAAAAAAAAATATATTATGTAGAGTTTTGGCGAAATATGTATACAAAAAGTTATAAAATGCCCATTTTCAGGAGAAGTAATTTTCTAATCGAGTTTTCCTTCTGTCAGTTATTGCTAAATTCTAAGTAAGATACATTCTAATTAACAAACAAACTAAACTTACCAAATCTCTTGATAATAGCCTGCTGACGGTGACCTTCACCATGACAAGAAAAGGAATTCCTGTAAAAAGAATATTAATTAAAATTAAAAAACGACTTTGACAAAATACGGTTACATGTTTAGCATATTAGCGCTTAATACTATGTTATATAAAACGTAAATAAATAATTGTTTTAATAATAAGTTACAACCTAATCAGTTCTTAATCTTACCTACTTTCCAATCCAATGGGAATCAGCTATCATAAAATCTATCCCAAACCAACAAAAAACCCAGCATCCTCTACGTCATAACTCCCATGACGTTTGCTGTCATTGGCAAAATCTCCACATCAAAAAACTATATCATTTCTAACCCTGCCATCAATTCGGGTTCAGGCGACATCACTCTCCCATTCAACAGTATCACCCTTTAAAATTAACATTCCTGCTTTGCTATTTTACAATGATAAGAAATTTCTTTGGTTGAACAAATTAAAGAATATAATGTTTAAATTCATTTTAATTAAAGGTTATCTTTTTTCTCTCCCTTTTTTGGCTTTACCAGGGATATTCAGCCAGATTCAGGTACCAGTGACTAACAATCAAAGTTTCTATCTATGTAAAGGAATGACTAGATAATAAATAGATAAATAAATAAATAAATAGGCTTTTAAATATATAAATAATACGATAAACAACAACAACTTAAACATTAATATCACAATTCTTGAAGTATTTGAACAAGGCGTCATAGACTTCCGTGTCACCCTCTGCTAGCAGCGAGCTTAAGTTCATTGGCCTTTTCACTTGCCCCAGAGCGTCCAATTCTTTCTGAAATTGTTCTCGCTGCCCGTATCGTACCAGATTTGCCACTTTCTGCATACGTCTCTTTTTATATTGTTTGTCACGTCTCCGACGGTTAGCTGCACAGGTGTGGGAGAACCTTTAATGGTTGCCTCCTTGGCTAACTGGTCGACTCTCTCATTATGTTCTATACCTGCATGCCCTTTTATCCAGCATATTACAATGTTTTTGCCTTCATTCTTTAATTTGAAGGTTAACCTGACAATTTCGATTATAATGTATTCATACTTATTATGAAAATTGAAAGTGCGTAGCTTGCATATCGTGCTGAGGCTGTCCGTCATAATCCCAATTTTTTTATTTGGTATCGTTCCTCGTGATAATTGTTCAGGCTGTCATAAAATGCACAACCCGTGGAGCCTTTAAGTTTTGATCCGTCTGTGAAGATAAGGAGGTGATCTGGGAACTTTTCGCAGCTGTCTGCCCTGAAATGCATTTCTGCGAGATTGGCTGGGAGTCCTGTATAATTCAGTTCTTGACAATTTATTTCGCTTATTATTGCTTGATATTCCAGCGAGAAGATTGGTAGTATCGGATTTTTGTGAACAGAATATATTATTGGGACTAGGGAGAGGAACGATTCGACTATAAGCGGAGCTTTTTTCCTTCGCCAGTATCTGTCTGTCAAAACCTTTTGAGCTAAATGGCTTACTTTCGTTAATAGCGGACTGTCTTTAGCGTACATTTTAATTAGGCAGTTTTTGCATATTTTTCCCATCTTAAGTTCAGTGGTGGCTCACATGCTTCGGCATAAAGGGCAGGTATGGGAGTGCTGGGAAGACATCCCAGGATGCCCCGCAGGCATTTGCGTTGAAATACTGCAATTCGTCGTTGTACAGGTTGTAAAGGTTGTCTTAAATTTATGTAAAAACCACTGGTTTATATGAAACCATTCGGAGGAAGTTTGCTTACTTATTTCTTACATCTCTATAAATATAATATAATCTCTATACTCATTAAGTTTGTATTCAACTGTGCAACAGAGTACAAAGGAACATAGCTGGCATTATGTGGGAGGAGCAGTTCGGGTTCTACCCTGATCTCTCCACAACTGCTCAACTAGCTAGAGTCAGCACACTTGCATGGTCCTTTTGAACATGAAAAAGGCCTTCGGTACCATTTGGCCGGAGGGAATATACTTGTTAATAAGGTGTAAATTACCCAGCATACCTGCTCAAGCTAGTACTCTCACGGTTAAGCAAAAGATCATTCCGAATTTCCCTCAACAATGCTATTTCTCCCCCATTTCTTATACACCTGGAGTGCCTCAAGGATCAATCTTGGGCCCAGGTCTGTTCACACTCTTTCTGAACGCTATAACCAATATAAAAAATACAATTTAACACTGTACACAGCGCTATTAACATCCTTATATAAGTGCAATTGTAAAATGACTTAGCGTTATTTAACCTGTTCTTAAAACCTGCCATGTTATTTAACACGTAATTAAATTCACTAAATAATTCTTCATTATATTAACTATGAGTATACAACACAAGTGTTTTTACGAACTTTTTTCGTTAATACGTAAACGTTAAGTAAAATTAATATATAAAGGTTGCGGGATAAACATGTTGAAGGTTATAAAGCCCCGTTGCTTTTGCACTTTTGATAATTTCTCAGGGTGCACCCAACTGTAAATTAATTGTCTAATAGAATAATGAATTTTTTTATTTCATTTCATAAAAAGGAAAAAAGTTGTATACCTGTCTGAAAATATGAATGTGCCTTGGGCTCAGAGTTTATTCTAGACGGTTGGATTGTTAAATCTGATCTTTATACTTGACTGGCCTGCAGTATATATTGAGTTTTAAAGGAAGAATTTTAATTAACATAAATTAAACAACGTAAGCAAAGTCCGCTGTGTAATAGGGTCAGCATCTCGCCTTGTTTATTCTTTGACGTCGCAAAATCTATGTAGATATTATGCCAATTAATCTGGCATACTTCCTTTATATACAGTTAAATTTACAACGATGAAAATATATAACCTAGAATGTGAAGTAGCTTTTGTTTAGAATTAATGTAATAATGCTATGGTGTATGTGGTGTGTAGCATTTGCCTTTTTTAACATGTTTCATTTAATTTTTGAGTGAGGGATTAAGGTTTAGGCCCTTGATGTAATTGTTACTGTGGAAATTATAACTGTACTGCCTTCGTGTAAAAGTATAGTTTTTTCTTTTCATGGGAAAACTGGTTAACTCATTTCTTATTCCGGTCAAAGAAAAGCATAATCCGTTCCATTCTGTAGCAAGATCATCCTCTTTCCTAGTGCAGGTGATCAGGCTTAATGTTTACATAACGGTTTCGTGGTCACATCTGTATTCTATCTACGACTGCGTCCATGAAATGCGAATCGTTCGGATTTTTCCATCGATTTGCAAGTTTCAATACAGCTTCCCTCCTGACTCAATTTTATTTTCCATTCGTGTTACTTTTCGCCAAATAGGAGAGGGCGATTTTGCTAAGTTGACCGGAACGTAAAACGCCAACGAACCATCAATTTTGAATAACAAAATCCACAGCTGAGAAATGACCTTATCGTGAACGAACACCATGTTAACAACCTCGCTTCCGTTTCACCTGGTTCCCAATTAACAGCGAGCACAGCCGGACCGGAAACAAACCAATTCGCGCTCTCGATACAACTCGAAACTTAATTGTAATATATATGTATAAAAAAAAAAAGATTTCACATAAAAAATGTGCACTTACACCTAATATTTCTGACATTTTGCTTCATAATTGGGTAAATAGAGCAGGTAGGCGTGTTATACGTAGTTGTTAGTGTAATTAATTGGTATATAGTTTTTATATTTGTTTGTTGTCGTAATGAGTTTGAGGTTAAAAATTAGTTACTCAATTAATTATACGCAATTTTTTCGAAATGAAAAATCTGTGTCATAGGCGGGATTCAAACCCACGACTTTCGGCTAAATATGCCGCTCCTCTACCACTTGAGCTACCGAGACTTCGATCGCCCATGCCACAAACTTCCTATTTGCAAGTATCTGGGAACGGCAGTATTGAGCTCGCCTTTGGACATCATATTTGAGATATTGAAGTACATAATTTATGACTGAGAAAAAACATACATTTGAACTTTGAATTCTTTTTATGTTCTACTTTGTGCCATATTTATTTGTTTATTTAGTGGTCATTATGGACCATATTACTTCTAGAAAAAGATAAGGTCTCTCTCAAAAGATCGTAACAATATTTGCGTACATATTTATTTATTTATTTAGTTATTTATTTATTTATATATTATAACAGGCTGTGATAACATAGAATTACCATTGTATTAGAAATTAAGATCTTGTTTTTAAAAATTGTGGGAAATGATTGTTATCATTAGGTGATAGTGTGGGGAACCTCCCACCTGATAACGTGATAAACACAATTTTCTTGTCAAACGCCTGTGATATTTATGTACCAAAAGAATATTATTTATTAAGTAATTGTTACTGGTTTTAAAAAATGCCTATATATGTAAGAGGCTGTTAAGAAGATGTTTTTATTTATTTATTAACACCTCTTAATTACAACGTATTCGGATCTTTACAGAACACTCTTTATGGGGCAAATCTTCATTCACAAGAAGGATTTCAGAAAGCATCTGGGATTTTCTCCTGAGAACTTCAGGAGTTAGTGAGGTTGTATAATTAAATGAATTGGTAAGCAGATGGTCATTAATGAAAATGGTCAATACATAATTAATAGTATTTACTATGTATATTCAATAAAATGTGTTTAATGTAACTCATAAAAATTTAACGGGCTGTTTGCCAATCACCTTTCTTTTAAGAAGATCTCTTCGTTAAGTTCGAGCAAATAATAAAAAGATCTATATAGACGTAAAGTAATTTACTATTTAATCTTATACATTATTTAATCGTTTATATATTTAGGTAGTAAATTAAATTAGTGACTTTTGTGCCATATAAAATGGAATGAGAATAACTCGTCAAAGTACGTTGTTATATTTCAATTTTAATTTACAGCTGTTTTAAAAACGAAGTACACAAGTTTCCACCAAGTTGGTAAAGTATTTAAGTTTAAAAAACCAGCGTTTTTTTTCTTTTTTGATAAGAGGACTTACCTCTCTCCTTACCACCACCTTCTAATTCAACCCCCTCACTGGGAATAGGGTTGACAGGGTGAATATCCGAGGAGGGACTGTTTTTTTCAGGACTGGGTCCCGTTTTGTAGGA